GCTCTAATATGGGATACAGGCATCCCACACTGTGGCTTAACCTACTGTGCCACAACACCCACCCCTCCCCTTTCTTCTAAATTCTGGCATCAGCTGATACTAAATGTGACAAAAAGAAAGTGAAAAATATTGGGAGAAACATACCCATCAGCTAACCATAACCAAAGGCAAGAGCTATCAAAGCTAAGAATTACAACTCACATAAAACGCCTATAATCTAGCCATCTTAGCCGTCTGCTCTTCCCCTCTGCTTTCTGTGTTGTGTAGGTATATGCTTTAGATCAAATTATAACGATCTAAGTTCAGATCTTCCTAGTCCTTTTTATACATTATCCAACATAAAAAAGTAAGTGTACTTTAATGATCATCATTATAATTATTCTTTCTTTCTTAGGAAAAACATATAGAAGGAAAAGACGGATCTCTACTTGCTCAAGGCCAAGACCAATGTCTTTATTTGACGTTGTAATCCCACATACATAGCATATGGATTGGCACATACCAAGTACTCCAATGTTTATCCAACCTACTAATACTTACATAACACCTTACTAGGCAGTTACTTTTTAAAACTATTTATTTCTATTTTACTTATTTGAAAGGCAGAGACAGACAGACAGACAGAGATCTTCCATCCACTGATTCACTCCCCAGATGCCTGTAAAGGCCAGGGCTGGACCAGGCCAAAGCCAGGAGCTAGGAACTCAATCCAGTTCCCCCATGGATAGCAGAGACTCAATTATTTGACCCATCACTTGCTGCCCCCCAAGGTGCACCTCAGCAAGAGCAGGAATCCAGAGCAGAGCCAGGACTCGAACCCAGGCTCTCAGACATGAGACAGGAGACTCCAAAACAGCATCTTAACTATTATGCCAAACGCCCATGCCTCCCAGCCCCCAGCACTGTTCTAAACAAATACATATATTAACTCCCAAGATTCTTAGAGGTAATCACTATCCCAATCCCCACTGCCAGCTGAGGAAATTGATACAACACAGCTGTGGTTGCCCAAGGTCTTCCACTTAACAGGAGGTTGCACCAGGATTAAAGGAAGGCGCACATGGCATTCCAACAAGATACATTTAAGTCACTCTAATTTCTTAAAATTGAGAAATTCATGACAAAGTACAACAGAAAAGAACTCTACTGGATCATAAAATAAGAAAAACATTGGAGCCAGCACCATGGCACAGTGGGCTAAAGCCTAGGCCTATAACACTAGCATCCCATATGGGTGCTGGTTCAAGTCCCGGCTGTTCCACTTCCGATCCAGCTCCCTGCTAATGTGCCTGGGAAAGCAGCAGCAGATGGCCCGAGTGCTTGAGCCCCTGCATCCACGTGGGAGACCTGAAAGAAGCTTCTGGCTCCTGACTTCAGATCAGCTCAGATCCAGCTGTTGAGGCCATCTGGGGAATGAACCAGCAGATGGAAGACCCCCCCGCCTCTGTCTTTGTCTCTACCTCTCTCTGTAACTCTGTCTTTCAAATAAATAAAATAAATCTTAAAAGAAAAGCATTTTTCTGTCTGCTACTCTGCAATACTCCATCCTGCGTTTCTTCAGAAGTGCTAAAGCCTTCACGTCGTTACTTCTGCAACCTCTGAGAGACGGAAAGCACCAGAGGGGCTTGCATCCCCTGCATTTAGGGGAAAAGAAGGCCAATGAAGAGGCTCCGAATCACGCACACTTCACTTACAATCCAGTTTTCCTTGTACAGACCAAGCTACCCTTAAAAAATAATTTTTTCAGAATTCTGTTCCATCAACTCTTTAACTTTTACAGTGATCGTGGGAGTTGGCATTGTGGTACAATAGGTTAAGCCACTCCTTTGGAACACCTGCTTCCCTTATCCGAGTGTCAGTCCAAGTCCTGGCTATTCCAAGCTTCCAACTCAGCTTCCTGCTAGTGCGCCTAGGAGGCAGTGGGTGATGGCCTGAGTGCTTGGGTTCCAAGTGGGAGACCTGGATGGAGCTCCTGGCTCCTGGCTTCAACCTGGACTAGCCCTGGCTGCTGCAGGCATTTATGAAGTGAATCAGGGAATGGGAGATTCCGTCTCTCTCTCTCTCTCTCTCTGTCCTCTCCATCATTCTGCCTTTCAAATAAATAAATCTTTAAAAACTAAAATAATCATGTTCATTTTATTTTCTCTACACTGACCCCAGTGAATATAAAATTATCAGACTTAAGAGAGAGGCTGGTGCTGCGGCTCAATAGGCTAATCCTCCACCTGCGGCGCCGGCACACCGGGTTCTAGTCCTGGTCGGGGCGCCGGATTCTGTCCTGGTTGCCCCTCTTCCAGGCCAGCTCTCTGCTGTGGCCCGGGAGTGCAGTGGAGGATGGCCCAAGTCCTTGGGCCCTGCACCTGCATGGGAGACCAGGAGAAGCACCTGACTCCTGGCTTCGGATCAGCGCAGTGCGCCAGCCACAGCAGCCATTGGAGGGTGAACCAATGGCAAAAGGAAGACCTTTCTCTCTATCTCCCTCTCTCACTGTCCACTCTACCTGTCAAAAAAAGAGAGAGAGAGAGAGAGAGAAGCATTATTTGGGAGTTGAAGGTAAAATGTTAAAAATCTGGGGTTATTACAGGACATTCTAAATGGTATATAAAGAGACGTGAAAATTGTTTTACTAACTGTCTCCACCCTTGCAGTCCAGTAGTTTCACATTCAGTTAACGCCTGATCTTCAGCTGCTCAGCTCCATCCAGCCCAGAAGCACTTTCACTCGGAAATGATGATTAAAGCCTTCCAGAGGTTTGCAAGTTAAGAATTGAGTGTCCCTTCCCTTAACATTCCAAATTCCTGTTAATCAGAAACCAATATTCGTAAAAGAAAGTTGAGACTCTGTCTGAATGAACTTGACCTTACAAAGCTAACTATAAAAGGAGAGAACAAGAGCTAGCTGTCTTTTAAGGAATGGTTTCTACTTTCCGACATGATTATCTAAATAGCTGGGAAACTGCGTCCTGAATATATACTTAGCAAGCGCCACCTCATGAGTCTTCCTGGTACATTTTTGCCCCCAAAGACAACACTCTCCACACTGCAAGGAAGGAGAGCATTTTAGAGAACAAAAGCAAATTTCTCCAATCCTACCCTCCACGCCCTCTGAGAGTTTTTATTTGGGATGGACAAACTCCAGAGGGCGACAAGCATGAAATAGGCTGATTAGTTTATGATGCGGTCAACTAGAAAAGCCAATAAGGTGAAATACAAAGGTATAGTTGTATTTCTTAAGTTGGCCTTTTTTTTTTTTTTGACAGGCAGAGTGGACAGTGAGAGAGACAGACAGAGAGAAAGGTCTTCCTTTTTGCCGTTGGTTCACCCTCCAATGGCCGCTGGGGCCCGCACACTGCGCTGATCCGAAGCCAGGAGCCAGGTATTTCTCCTGGTCTTCCATGGGGTGCAGGGCCCAAGCACTTGGGCCATCCTCCACTGCACTCCCTGGCCACAGCAGAGAGCTGGACAGGAAGAGGGGCAACCTGGACAGAATCCGGCGCCCCGACCGGGACTAGAACCCGGAGTGCCAGCGCTGCAAGGCGGAGGATTAGCCTAGTGAGCCGCGGCGCCAGCCTTTAAGTTGGCTTTTAAAGAACAAAACCCAGTGCCAACCAGGGTGCCTTGAAACGTCTACCTCTCCGATTTTGTTCAGCAGTATTTCTAAAATCAATAGCTGTTTTACAGTAAGAGCAGCAATAGCGGGAGTTTTAAGATAAGCTGAGAAAAGCTGTGAGCTGGGACAGGAGCGCTGTGGGAAGCGCTGCTGGGAGAGGGCGAGGGACCTGCTCCGAACACCGCGGCAGCTCAGCTCTGTCTTCCCAAGGCCTCACAAGCCCACTTCCAGAACGGCAAATCTCTGGATACAGGACGACCAAAGCGCAACTTCCCCGCCGCCTCCCACTTACCCCATGAAGCAAAAGAAAAGCTTTTAAAATGGATCATCCAGGCCAACTAAAAGGAAGAGCAGCATTTAGGGCCCACCAGAATCCGACTAATTTTCAGCACCACGTATGCGATCCTCGTCAGATCGAGGATATTAAATACGAAACTTGGGGCCCAACCCACAAACTCAGAACAACTCAAGCGGCGGTGAGCTCACGTTCTAGTGTGCGGTCAGCATTTACATTTCTGGGGTGTGCCATCAGAATCCCCCAGGGTCTTTCCAGGTGAGATTAGATTCTCAGGGTCCACCGATCTCCCCTGCTCAGGCAGAATCGGAGACAGGGCCCGGGGCACGGCGCTGGGGTGCTGTGAATGCACACTTCGGCTTGAGAATCGGAAAGTTAAACCCACGGCGTCCCCAGGCTGAACCTCCAATGCCCTGTCCCTTCCGAGCCGTCTCCTCACTGAGGCGCGCTGCTTAACCGACTCGCCAGTTCCCCACCAGCACGGAGTCAGGGGAGATGAACTCAAGACGGCGCGCGGTCCCCAAGCATCGTGTCGAGAAAAGCGAGAGCAGCTGGACCCCTAGCGGGTCCCCTCCCTCTCCGCCTCCTTCACCAGCGGGGCAGCCGCATCTCGGAGACCCCCGCCACGAGTCGGCTGGGATTCCCCCTCGGCGACCCCGGGACCCGTTTCCAGCGTCCTCACAGAGCTGCTGGGGTCTGCACCGCACACGCTTCACCAAACACACACACACACCCCCGACCCCAGCGCAGGGCCGCGGGCTCCCGGGACAGCCTGCCCACCGCGTTCCTCCATCCCTGAACCGCCAGCTCCTTTCCTTTCAGGTGGACCCCGGCCCAGCCCGGCCCCGCGCGCGCACCGCCGGGTCCCGGCCCCCTCCTGCGCGCCCCCAGGGCTCCGGCGGGACTTCGCCGGCCCCCCGCCCCCGTCCTCGGGGTGCCCCTCTCCCGGCATCCCGTAGGCCAGGCCCGGGCGCCCGGCCGCGCGGCCCGACGCCCGCTTCCCGCGTCCTCGCGGGTTGTTTGGCACGGGCAGGGGCGCGGTCCTCCCTCCACTTGGCCCGTCCTGCCCTCTCCGCCTCGGGCCTGCCCGCCTTACCAGCCGGCAGCCCGGTTTCGGCGACATCGCCGGCAGGGCCGGGCTCGGCCCCGCCGCCGCCGCCCGCGGGGGAGGAGGGACAACTGTGGTTGTGGGAGCACTTGATGTCGCGGAAGAACTTCTGGGTCTCGCGCAGGTTCTGCCTCAGACGGCCCAGGTAGCGGCGATAGCGACCGAAGCCCCGGCTCAGCTCGCGGATCATTCCGCCGCCGCCGCCGCCGGGGCCGGGACCCGACACGGGCTCGCCGCCCCACGGCGCCCCGTCGCCCTCCATCTCCTCAGCGCTCTCTGCCTGCGCGGGTCAGTCCCCGGCCGCTGGTCCGGCCTCCCTCCTCCCCGCCCCCCAGGGCTTTAGGGAGGAGGAATCCGCCTCCTGACGCCCCCGCCTGCAGTCGGCAGAGCTTCCAGCCTCCGTCACGGCCGCGGCAAACAAACCAGCCCGCAGTGCGCCGCCATCGGAACCTTTCTCGCCACTCTGCAGAAGCGCGAGGGAAGGCTGACGGGGGGGACGCCGTCCCTGCAGGGCCTCCTGGGATTTGTAGTCCGGGCCGGGCCGGAGCCCCGAGGCCGGGGACCGCGTGCCTGTGGCTGGGACTGACTCCCAGCACCATCACCACGTTGGGTGACAACCTGACCCGTGCTTGCGCTTGCACGCTCTCCTCTCTTGAGAAAATGTGTCCTGCCCCTTCCAGGAGCACCCGTGGAGGAATTCTGCAGAATCCGGACGCAGCAGAAGTGGGGTGCCTTACTGACATCAGAGTGGAAGATTTTAGTAGCTAAGAGAAGGAAGGAAGCTCGCCCGCCCTGTTCCCACCCTGCGTGGCTCTCCCCCTTTCCCGGTGCAGCAGATGCTGGGGGCTTGGCTGAAAAGACCCCGGAAACAAGAACACCTCCCTCGCTGGCGTTCCTGACTTGGCGTCTGCAGATGCGGACGGGGGTCGTGAAGGGGCGGCCAGGAACCACAGGCCGAGGCTCTCAGCTGGTTACTTCCAGCGGGCAGATGGGCTGGGGAACGGGAAGTTGAGGTTTGCAGCCTTGCAGACCACTTGTGCTTCTCGTAACTCGGTCTCTGCTAGTATACACGACTCGTCTGGGCACGGACTCCCAGAGCCGTGCACACAAGGACCGGGGAGGGGGGCAGATCTTGGGGACTGGTGCCCCCTTGCCTGTTCCTCTCCTCCCCTCTCCCTGGTTCCTCAGCGGCGCTTAGGAGAGTTTGGGGCTGGACTCCCTGAGCGCCTTGGCCTGGGCAGCTGGGGCAGAGACCCTAGTGCCTCATGCACAAATCTGACTTCTGTCTCCCGCACTCCCCTCTTGAGTGCCGGGGCCCTTGACTAAGTGCTGTCATGATATTTGGAATGACTCAGCGAGAACTTGAAGGCCGCACCTTTCGGGGGGCTTTAACCTTCTAGAAAAGGGGGCCCCTCATCCAAATGAACCTGCACTTGAGAAATGGCTGGCTCTAAGGAAGCAGCCTGGCGCCACTTGAGGTTCTACTTGGCCAAATAGTCTCCGCTGGCCGCCCCTCATCTTTGCAAGGTTGTATTCCCCAAGCAAGGATCAGCAGAACAAATGAAATTACAACATGGAAATTTCCATACAAGATGGTCGATATTCTTTTTAAACATAGGAGAGCTGATTTGCCACACTGTAACTGCCAGCGGAGGAGGTGGGATGAGTGAGCCCCCGGACTGGGGTTGTACCTTGAAGAAGGGGCAAACAATGTGAATAGGTGGGGGTGATCAGAGAGGACTTTATCTCAGGTACAGGTCAGGGAACCCACCTTTTATAAAATTTATTCAGGGGAGTGGGCATGATGGTTAAGCCCCTGCTCGGGATGCCGGCTTCCCACAGTGGAGTGCCAGTTTGAGCCCCAGCTCCTCTACTTCTGACCCCGCTTCCTGTTAGCCTACCTGGGAGGGCGGTGGATGATGGCCCAAATGCTTGTGTCTCTGCCTTCAACCTGGGACACCCAGGTGGAGCTCGAGGCTCCTGGCTTCAGCCTTGCCCAGTCTCCACTGTTCCAAGCATTTGGGGAGTGAAACATGGGATGGAAAATCTAACTCTTTCTTTGTCTCTCCTTCTCTCTCATCACTCTGCCTTTAAAATTTTTAAAAATTCAATAAGGGGCCTGTGCCGTGGCGCAGTAGGTTAATCCTCCACCTGCGGTGCCAGCATCCCATATGGGTGCCGGTTTGAGTCCCAGCTGCCCCCTTCCAATCCAGCTCTCTGCTATGACCTGGGAAAGCAGTAGAGGATGGCTCAAGTGCTTGAGCCCCTGCACCCATGTGGCAGACCTGGAAGAAGTTCCTGGCTCCTGGCTCCTGGCTCCTTGCTCCTGGCTCCTGGCTCCTGGCTCCTGGCTTCAGATCAGCGCAGCTCCGGCCATCGCGGCAATCTGGGGAGTGGACCAAGAGAGAGAAGACATCTCTCTCTGTCTCTCCCTCTCACTATCTGTAACTCTACCTCTCAAATAAATAAATAAAATCTTTTTAAAATTTTCAATGAAACACTAAAAATTATTTATCATAGTTTATTTTTTTAAATAAGTAATACAAGAAGGTGGTATAAAATTCAAATGATAGGAAGGGTACACAAGGAAAAACTAAGCTTTTTTTAAAATTTATTTATTTGTTTGAGAGGCATAGTTATAGACAGAGGGAGAGACAGAAAGGGAGAGGTCTTTCATCCACTGGTTCACTCCCCAGATGGCTGCAATGGCCGGAGCTGTACTGATCCAAAGCCAGGAGCCAGGAGCTTGTTCTGGGTCTCCCATGTTTCTCCCACTTGGGTCATCTTTCTCTGCTTTCCCAGTCCATTAGCAGAGAGCTGGATCAGAAGTGGAGCAGCCAGGTCTTGAAACAGTGCTCATATGGGATGCCAGTACTGCAAGCAGTGGCTTTATCTGCTACGCCACAGCACCGGCCCCAAAACTAAGCTTACTTTTCCACTCCCCATCAGTCACTTAGCTCTCAGAGGGCAATAACTCTAGTAGCTATAGATTTTGTGTGTGTGTGTGTGTGTGTGTGAAGCACAAATGATAGCATACTATACAAACTCACACCAGCATGTAAAAATTTGCCTCATGCTTTTTAGCTGTATAATATACCACCACATGGATTGGCATGTTTTATTTGACAACAGTTTTATTAATGGACCTTTAGGCATTTTGCAGTCTTTTGGAATTGCCAGCCGTGCCACTGTAACTAACCTTCTCTGTACATCATATTGAATATGCGCAAGAATATCTCACTCCCATATTTTATCTGCTAAGGAAAGCAGTCATTTTTGCTATTTAAAATCTTACAGGATGTGACAATGAACTCTTTAAGTCATAATAGCCTGTCAGTAAAAATACATATTTTATTCAAATAGCTAATTCAAAGGACAAGTAGAGGAAATAAGGGTTTGAATGGTGAGAAGAGAGGAGTTGGCGTGGGCATTTGAATCTTGCCTTCCACCTGGGACTACCTGGTCTTGATAATCTGGCTCTGGCTCCTGACTCATGCCAACCCTGGGAGGCAGCAGAAATGGCTCAAGTGGTTGGGTTTCCGGCACCTAAGTGAGAGACTTCAGTTGAGTTTCCAACTCTGGGCTTCAGCCCCAAATGAGGACAATTGGGGCATTTGCAAAGTGAACCAGTGGGTGGGAACTCTGTCTCTCTGCTTCTCATATAAATAAATAGTTTTTTTTTTTAATTTATAGCTGCTATAAAACTAAAGATAAAAACAAGAAGAGAAGATTTAAATTAGAATTGGAAAGTATTTCCTGAAATTTATGAGAATCAAACAATTCATGAAGGTGAACACACAGAGGTGCTTCTAGTCCTTTGTAGAACATCATTAAAGTTCAGGGATGGGGAGGGGTGAGGAATGAGCATTTGTCCTGGCAGGCAAGGTGCCCGTTAAGATGCCTGGGTACTGTATCGGAGCACCTGGGTTCAACTGCCGGCTCTGTTAATGTTGCTATTGGAGGAGAAGAGATGGATGAGAAATACATTTAATTTTGCTTTTCTATTATAAGTTCCTCATGGTTAGATGACTCTTAAACATTTTTATTAATTTATTTGCGAGGCAGAGAGACAGAAAAAGCAAGAGAGAGAGAGAGAGAGAGAGAGAGATCCCATCCTATTCTCCAATTGCTTGCAACGGCTGGGCCTGGATGGGACCAAAGCCAGGAGCTGGGAAGACATCCAGGTCCCCAGCATGGGTGGCCGGAACCTAACTACTTGAGCCATCGCTGCTGCCTCCCAGTGTCTGCATTAGCAGGAGCCACAGGCGAGGATCAAACCCAGGCACTCCAATATGGATGTGGGTATCAACCAACATCTAACCACTAGGCCAAACTCTTAACCAGTTGGATGAGTTCTAGAGAGATCTGAAGCTTTGCTCATCCTGTTCATGTGGGTAGAAATTATATATATACTTTTGGGTCTGTGCTATGGTATAGTACGTTAAGCCTCTGTCTGCAGCACCCACATCCCATATGGGTGCCAGTTCCAGTCCTGGCTGCTCCACTTCCAATCCAGCTCTCTACTAATGTGCCTGGGAAGGCAGTCAAAGCTGGCCCAAGTTCTTGGGCCCCTGCCACCCACATGGGAGAATGGAAGCTCTCTCTTTCTCTCTGACTCTCCCCCTCTCTGTAACTCTGCTTTTCAATAAATAAATATTTTTTTAAAAAACTATTAACATTTAATTCTTCCATGTGAATAATAAGTTTACTAACATAAAGTAACACTATTTTCTATTATACAACATAAAATCACAATCACAAATCCAAGAATTTAAAGACAAATATAACAATTACACATTTCCAAGTTTTCTATGGGTATTTATTTATTTATTTATTTATTATGTGAAAGGCAGAGAGAGAGAGAGAGAGAGAGAGATCTTCCATACACTGGTTTCACTCCACCAAATGCCCCCAATAGCTGGGACTGGGCCAGGCCAAAACCAGGACCCAGGAATTGGATCTGGGTCTGCCATTTGGGTGGCCATTTGGGACCCAAATGCTTGAGCCACCAACTGCTTCCTCCCAAGTTGCACATTAGCAGGAAGCTGGAATTGGAAGTGGAAATAGGACTGTAACCCAGGCACTCGGACAGGGGATGCAGGCATCCCAAATATCCTCCCTTCATATGTATTTTATTATTATTTCTGCAATTGTTATCCGTGAGAGTTACTAATAGACAAATACAATTGAGCTCCAAAAAAGGAAAAATATGGAAGATGAGAAAATACAATTCATTTGCTTACTTTTTCTCTGAATTGGGACAAGATACGTCATCAAATCTAGCAACAAAACACAGCTTCTGGCATCTCAGTACTGAGTTCAAGGGCAAATGCTTGGGAATCCCTGTTCTAGACAGTCCTGTTCTCTGCCTCATCTGCATAGCACTGGCAGAGTCCAGAACAGTGCTTCTCAAACTTTACTGAATCACTTGGGGATTTTGTGAAAACACAGTGTGACTCTGCGAGTCGGG